GTAAAACTAAAAGTGATAAACAATTTTTTATGCTAAATTGTTTGGGTTAGACTGTGGGGGGTTTCTTATAACGCGTACTGTATATGCATAAATATATATATATAATGCTGATGAGGTGGCCTTTATTGGAGTGTAATACCCACTCGTACATTACCATATGCTAATGAAAAAACTACTCCTGGCTATAAAATAAGAAACGATCGGATTACTGTCTTAGATTGCTCAAATGCTAGTGGAGAAGATAAACTAAAAATAGCTGTAGTAGGAAATTAAAAGTCTCCTAGAGCTTTAAAAGATATTAAACTAACTAATTGAATACTATAACCATCGTGTTGATTTGATGGCGAAAGGGATTTTTGAAGTCAAAACAGTTTAACGGTGATTATGGTCACATAAGAACAATGGTCTTTTATAGTTTTGAAAATCAATTACGCTTCGTGATGCGGTTTTAACATATCGTATAGCTGGAAATGTGGAGTTACTACAATTAAAAATTTTTTTAACAAAATTTTAGTTATTTCCACGGTTAATCAACACTACTTGCATTGAAAAGTTTTTGTTTAAGAAAGAAATTAAAATTAGTTTTTACCTCTTCATTAACACTACATTCGTTTTCTTTGGCCGATTCTGTTATAAAAAAACTTTTTTTCACTTCCATTTCTAATTTATTAGCAAGATTATCTTTAATCGAGCACATTTCAGTAAGTTCTTCGCACAAAGCAACTTTTTCTTTAACGTTATCTTCTTGAAAATTGTTCAATCGCTTTATTGTCGCTTTTAATTCGGAAATTAATTCATCTTTTTCTGCAATTTCAGTTTGATATCTCTCACCAAGTTGTTTATTAAATTCAGCTATAATCTAAAAGAGATTTCTTTTCAAAATTTCAAAACATGAAATTAAAAATCTTTTAAAATGAATATGTAATTTACGGCTAATCTATCGGCTTCTTTAGTGACTTCACATAGAGAACCTTTCAAACATTCCGTGTTTGAAGCGTTCTGCTCGATTTTATCATAAATACTTCTTAAAAAGTTTTTTTCTGCTAAATGTCTTCTTCTGTCGTTTTGAAGAGCTATAATTAAAAATAGGTTATAAAGATTATTAATGTTTTGAAAAAAGTGTAAAAAATTGATTTTCTAAAACAATAACCCGTTAAAGTAGCTTGTTGAGTTAAAAATTCTTCGTTTAATTTCAGTTTGGATTCGTTTAATTCTTCAATTGATTTCGCTTGAGTGTTAATTTTTTCAGATAGTTCACTATTTATGGTTTTTAATGATTCAATTTCGTTTGAATACATCTTTAATTTTTCTTCTAGTTGATCTTTATAAGAAACAACCTGTAATTTTAAAGAAAAAATAAAATTATATACTGTTAAAATAAAATATTCTTACATAACTTTACTGTTAAAAATTTAATGTTCTTGGAAATCTTTATGATAACTATAATTAAATAATAAGAGCTTGAATACGATTTATGAAAACGTTCGCAGGAGTAACACATTACCTGAGTTATGTTACAGGACATATCTAAAAACTGGGGAATTACCAAGAATTTAAGACGTATAACGCATAGTGATTGAGGGAGTCGAAATCTAGATCCTTTTAGCATAAAGGTTGACCCTTACAACCATTTTGCCAATGGTTGTAAATACAACAAGCCTTTATGTTAAAAGAAATTTATTGCAATATACTTTTTACATATCCAAATTCAATGAATTAATTTATAGATTATCTTTGTGTTAAATAGAAAGTCTTTATTTTAATCATGTTAAGTGTCACGTTAGAAAGTCAAAGGCTTATTTGTACATCATATTTTTACTATACTTTTGTAGTTTTATTTATAATTTTCTATTATTGCCATAATAATACTACAATTTTCCGGCTAGTATTGATAATAATTATATTATGTAATGAATGTTCCCAACCCAACTCATCTCTTATGGCAGTAC